TATCTCGAGAAATACGCATTTCACGGAAAAATGTTTTAAATAAAAGGTTAATGTGACCAAAGGGGACATTATTTGGTGCTACCGCTAGCCACCCCCAACCCTCCTTAAGAGTGAAACGGGGGGTAACTGAAGAGTCAAATGGGATAACCCTTTTTTTACAGATTTAGGTAGTACATAAAAAAATTAATAACTTTTATTTAAAACTTTTTTCAATTTATCAACAGATGGCGCTGTAATTCAAAATTTAAGAAAAATGGGTTTCCCTGTAAAATGTATTATTTGAAACGTTTGAAAAACAAAAAATAACATTAAATCAACAATATTCGGCTCTGAAAACAATTTATAACAAATGTTCGAAATGTCGTCCTTCCATTTCGACACCAAGTGGAGCACCAGCGTCCCTGTTCGGTAAACGTTTGGTGCGGTACCTTTGGCGAACGGCATTAAATGGTGAAAATTACCGGAATTTTCTAGAAAACGATCTGCCAGACTTCTTCCTGTGGGGTTACTTGAAAGAAAAAGTTTACGCTGCAATTCCTACAACTCGGGAGGACATGGTGGAGCCAGAATTCATTACCCGCATTCAAAAATGTGTCGAAATAAAAGGATGACATTTTGAACATTTGTTATAAATTGTTTTCAGAGCCGACTATTGTTGATTTAATGTTAATTTTTGTTTTTTAAACGTTTCAAATAATACATTTTACAAGGAAACCCAATTTTCTTAAATTTTGAATTACAGCGCCATCTGTTGATAAATTGAAAAAAAGTTTCAAATAAAAGTTATTTATTTTTTTATGTACTACCAAAATCTGTAAAAAAATCGGGTCATTCCATTTGACTTTCTAAAGTTACCCCCCGTTTCACCCTTAAGGAGGGGTAGGGGGTGGCTAGCACTAGTACCAAATAATGTCCCCTTTGGTCACATTAACCTTTTATTTAAGACATTTTTCTGTGAAATGCGTATTTCACGAGATATTGAGCTGTCTTAAGTTAAAAGAAACACCTATTATAGGTGTATATACACATAAAAAATAATGTGTGCCAAGACCACACTAATAAAGTAAGACTTTTTACGCCGAAAATGTTGCGCATTTGAATCAAATGGTTGGATCTATGTGGAGTAGTTACATCTAGTATTATATAATACACATTTTTTTTTTATTTCCAGTTTAAATTTCTATATAAAAAAATATAAACGAATTCGTATTTCATTCCAAATAATTTTTGTATTCATACTTAGGTACTTTTACCACGAGAGAAACGAGACGAGACGAGAGGAAGGCACTCTCGAGCGAGAAAAGAGTATTCTCGACGAGACGAGAGACCCATTTTCTCTCGCTGCACGAGACGAGACGAGAGAAGGACTTTTCGTCTCGTCTCGTCTCGCGGCATCACTACTTAATAGGATTCATATCCGGAGACAAAGGTAGCCAATTCATTCTCTCAATATCGTTGTCCCTTAAATACTCATTTACGATATTAGCGCGATGCGGACGGGCATTGTCGTCCACCAACACCAAATTATTGGCATTTAATCATTTGATCCTTGATTTGATCATTCAGTGACAGGATAATAACGTACTTAAGATGCAAAACACAGTAAAAAACAGTAAAATCCAGCAATCAGATTTTATTGAGACATTTAACAGTCAGGAATTGTTTTCGAATTTTGATTCTTGGTGATTTTGGTTTTATCTGAAACCTAAATTTGACAACTGAATCACAATCAGGTAAAAATTATAAAGAAAACATGTCACGAACGTAAATATCGGTTCAGGTTTAGTTTTCGAAAATTTTCACCAAAATGTCATTTTGAAAAAGTGGTCTTTGCTTAGGTTCCTCTGAAAATAATGAAAGTTTGTTGCTTGTCGCTTGTTCAGAATTATTCAAGGAACAATCATTCACCTTTTTATCTTTTTGTTCTTAAAGGGGCTACAAAAAAGCATCAAATGTACTCCATTGAAAAAAAAAACATATTTTTGTTGCTAAAATTCGAAATTCGAAAAATTTAGTAAGACATAATACTTCATTATTTCAAAGTGAAAACATTTATTTTACAAACAGGGCTTGGATGAAGTTATTAAAATTTTTCACTGTTTTACATATCACCCTGCAGTAAATTTACTTGAAGAACCGTAAGCTTCATATCTATAGCATGAATTGCCAGAGAATGTGGCTAGCAGACATTACAAACCAAAATAAAATCGTTTAAGAAACAAAAAAGTTATGTCGTTTTGAAAAAGCATGAAATTTTTCTGTGGGTAAAAGGCATAAGGGGATAAGTCAAAAAAAGCATTTTTTTGGTAGAGACTTAAACGTGCTCGAATTAATTCAGGAAATATATTTATGGTTAGCGAGTATACCCTTTTGCTAGCATACGACATGTGCTGGCAAAAGGGTATACCCGCTAACCATAAATGTATTTCCTAAATTAATGTGAACACATTTAGCAGCTGCTAAAAAATTAATTTTTTTGACTTATCCCCTTATGCCTTTTACCCACAGTTTTGGTCGCGACACATTGAGTGGTGCGCAGTTTTTTGAAAATTTAAAAGACTTTCGAGATAGATTTAAGAAAATTAAAAATGAAGCTATAAATTTAGCTTGGAAATGGGGAGCTACAACTAAATTTAAAGAAAAACGTATTTCTCGACCAAAAAAAAATTTTTGACAATATATCTAATAACTATGTTATTGGGACGTCTGAAGATAGATTTAGAATAAATACTTTTTACAGAACGTTAGAAATTGCCATAAATAAAATCTACAGTAGATTCACTAGTCTTAGAGAAATATGTGACTGTTTTAGATGTTTAGATCCCAAAGTGTTAGTTAATGTCAGTGATGATGATCTGTTCCAAATGGGACAGGTTCTTTACTCAAAATATAATAATGATATTTCAGAAGAATTCTCAAAAGATTTATTTAAATTTCGGCAAAGTTTTAAAACAGATCTAGAAAAGTTACACACAATAAAAGATTTGGCAAATTTCATAGTTATTCAAAATTCTTATTCTTGAGTAGTTTTTCTGAAATCGTGTCTCTTTTTAACCATCCCTGTTACTGTTGCCACCGCTAAGAGATCTTTTTCAAAATTAAAGTTGATTAACAATTATTTAAGGAACTCGATGCTCCAAGACAGGTTAGCATCACTGTCAATAATTTCAATTGAAAATGACATAGCACAGAAGCTAGATATAGCCAAACTAATTAAACAATTCGCAAATAAAAAGGCTAGAAAAAAAGTCATTGTTTAATTTGATATTTTGTTGATAATTATTTTTACAATAGAATGCTTACCAATAATTTAAATTACTGTTTTAGAATGATGTGTTCATTTGTTTTGTTGTTGTTGTTGAGTTTATTTAAAATAAGTATAATAGTTTAATTAGTAAAATAGTTAATATATTGTAACGAAGTTACTTAATTTCTGTAAAATCATTATTTGGGGTCGTAGAACTGCGATTTAAGTTTTGTGCTGTTTCGGATAATTTAGAGAATATTAAAAAGTAGAGAAAGCCGCGCCGTCTTTATTGGGTCTAGGGAGCCGTAAATATCTATTTAACTATGAATGATTTTGTACGCTGTCGCTGTACAAGATATACTAGGCGGGACTGGCGCGTGCGCTCTCGCGCTGTTTCAATGCCTGGAAGTGGAACGCGGAGAGTGACGGAAGAAAAACCGCATCTTGTGTCTATGATCTTGTGTTTCGCCCGTGACCTGTGCAGATCGCAAATAAAACCACCGTACCGATTTGTAAGTACTTGTAAAATTATTATTTTGTAATGAATTGCCTGTTTGCTTTGCTTAGCCTTGCTATAATCTAGTCGTATTAATTAGTTTAGATTTGTAAATACTAAACTGCTACCGCAATTTTGACTCTAACGCTATACGTGTTCGGTGTCTACGAATCGTAGCTAGTTGCGTAGCCGGTGCTTTGCCGGCTACATTGTAATCATTTGCACGATGTCGCTTTTATTCTCACCTATTTCGCTACTACTAATTGCTTGCCTTTCATCGCCGATTACCGTTTTCGGCTCATTACATTTATACAATCCCTCTGACCGTTTTCCCCTCTCTGCTCGCCATCACGCTTTCTTAACACTATTGCTTTGCGTTTGTTTGATAATGGTTTTATGTTAGATACAGGTAGTTTACATTTATTCTGAATAGAATGATTTTATAATTTTGTTAATATACCTATTAAGTTTACTCCAGAGTTTCATTGCTAACTGAACCCTGGTTTACTTTCTCCACTGTATAAAAGTACCCAGGTGTGGCGCTTCACCACAATAAAAAAGAAGCTGGCGCCCGAGATTAGTTTATTATATTAGACAAACCAATAGGTAAGTGCGTCACTAGAAAGTAACGTTACAATATTAGTTAATATATTTTTTAATACTTATTAGATTAAATTTTGTTGGTTACCATTCATTATAGGTAGATATAAAGTACCTATATTCTGTAATTTCAATAAATTACAATTATAAATAATCTCTTTAAATATATACTTTAATCCTTTATCTGCCTCTGGCCAAACCAAACATAAACTTGCGTATGTAGTAAGTTTGAACCCAGGGAAAAAATATATCATCCATTAATAACGTTTAATGTTAAAAATCATAAGTTTAAGTATATTTTATTGAAGGTACCTATATTGACTTATTGGCGGCTATGGGATGCATAAGCAAAGTATCTGGCAGAGTCATAAAAAGAAAAAAAATACTGACGATTCATTACCCGTCGACGCCTTTGTACCCGCCAAGAAAAAGAAGTTAAACAACACAAATGAAGTTTTAAAGCATTTTAGAGGGTTGATAAGATTGGTGCATAAACTGCAATCGACATAGGACAGGGGGTAAGAGTCATAATTATTAAAAAAATATATTAATTATGCTATAGTAAAGTACCTATATACTTTTATAGTATTCATATTACCTGTCATTTTAGCTACTTTAGTAACTTTGACTAATTGTATCATTTATTAAACTTATTAGATGAAAATGGAATGTTTGCCCAAGGCAGCACTAAGTACATTGCAAAACTATGCAGAGCTAAGTGATGTTCCTACGACCTCGAAACATCTGTTAACCCTTGTATCTGATGTACCCGATGTAACATATAGGAATATGCCACGTACGTAATTTTCACACAGGACTACTTCAGTAAGTTTGACTTATTTTATTATTCATTAAACTTATAAGGTGAACATGAAATGTTTCAGAGAAGCCTCTGCAGGGTCTAGTGGTGTTTCAACATCAATACTGCCCAAGGCAGCGCCAAGTACTTCGCGAACTTTTGTAGAGCCAAGTGATGTTCCCACAACCTCGAAACAGCTGTTACCCCTTGTACCCGATATAACCGATGGTACATTTATGAATATGATACTTGAAATGAAGCAAAAACTAACGTACGTATTTTTCACGTAGAACAATGCCTGTTTTTTAGTAAATATATCATTTAAAATTTAACGCTCAACTTTATTTGAAGAATATTAATTTTTACACTTTTATAAGAGAATATTTTATAGCAAAATCGAGGATCAGAATGAGAAAATTCTCAGCAAGTTTGATGATGTAAAAATTGACATACAAGATCTCCGTGAAGATTTAAATGGTTTTATAAAGGAAAGATAAAGCCGATTTAATCAAAAATTGACAGCCATTGTAAAGGGATTTCCCATAGAATCCAGTAAAGATTTTCAAAAAATGGAGCTGGACAACGGAGAGGCCCGCAAAAGTTTAGTAAGCCCATTGTTTGAATTTTAAATTCAATTTTCTAAATATTTGTATAATTTTTTAGTACAAAAGTATGCTTGAAATACAGCTTGTGAGAATGCGAAACTTTTATTTATGGCAACTTCCGCTGCTATCGCCGACAGCTTAGTTTATAAATATACTTGGACTGGAAAGGGCAAATCAGGGGATATGTTTGCTTTTTTCAGTTCCAAAATGGAAAGTACTATATATGGTAAGGAATATATTTTTTTCCTTGTAAAAAGTTTATAATATATGCTTAAAATAATAAATACCGTAAAATGGGGCTATTAGAGACTGCGGTATAATTAGAGACAAAAACCGGGAAACTATATTTTAAAAAAATGGTTACGTTCTCTATATGTTATTGAAGGGGGGACTATAATATTCGGGACGCGTTTGAGGCCTACGCATTTCTTGAAGAAGAATTATATATCTCCAGATCAATTTTCAACAATGAGATTAAAGTACCCGAAATAAAAAAGCTATTGGAAAGCAATTTCGGAGACCAAATCCAAATCTCGTTAGTGGGTAAGTGAATCTTAAATCGATTAAATAAACCCAACCGTTAATATTAAGCACACCAATTAATAAATTTTATTTTTCTTTCAGTACCTAGGCCTCAAACGTTTGAGCCATTACAACGTGCACGCGGCCGTGGCTGCGCCAGGGGTTGTCACACTAGTGGATGGGGTACGCGGCCCTATCCATTTATTCAACGTGGACGTGGACGCTCCAATAAAGTGATAATAAGTTTTTGTGTTTTTTTATTTTTTGTTAATAAATTTTTAAATCAATTATTTTGTTTTATTTTAGAAGGAAGGAAGGTCCACATAAGATGGGCGTTGTACTTATCTTAGAAAATACTGCTAATTATAATTGTAATAATATGTTCATTTTGACTAATGTGTAAATATTCGTATAGCAGGGACGCCCATACCCATGGGCAAGGGGAGGGCCCTTGCCCCCCCTGGTTGCCAACCCAACTATATCCACAAAATATGTTGGTACCTAGGTACAGGGAAATCCCTACTTCTGCTTCGTTCAAAGATAGGTCAACAAATTTTTCCCTAAAAAACGAAAAAATTATTTAAAATTGCTGTTTTGTAAAACAATATACAAGGTGTCCCTAAACTTAGTGGCATAAATTTGGGAGCAGATTAAGCAAGTCAAAATAAGACGAAAATCTAAATAAATATTTTTCCTAATTAGGTATGTTTAAAAGATACAGGGTGATAAAGTTTACTTATCATATCAGTCACTTACTACCAAAATACATATTCACACATAATAACAATTGTTCGAGTGAACGCAGTGTCGTAGAAAAAGGGGTTGCTTAAGCTTATTGTCCCATACAAACTTTGAGGTTAGGTTTTTATACCATTTGATGCATTTTTTCGATTACTCAGTTCGTCTACTATTAAAAAGGTATACCTCTCAAACTTCGATAAAATAAACCGTTTCCGAGATATCCGAGATTACAATAATTGTTATATCGCATTAAAGGACTAAAAGGTATATGATAACAAATTTTTTAATTGAAAAAACTACAATTTTTTTAATGTGACGGTCAGGGCAAAAAGTCTCGAGGCTCATGGAATGCCGTTAGTTTTTTCAATTAAAAAATAAAATTTGTTATCATATACCTTTTAATCCTTTTAAATAATGCGATATAACAATTATTGTAATCTCGAATATCTCGGAAACGGTTTATTTTATCGAAGTTTGAGAGGTACACCTTTTTAATGGTAGACGAACTGTGTAATCGAAAAATTGTATCAAATGTTATAAAAACCTAACCTCAAAGTTTGTATGGGACAATAAGCTTAAAGCAACCCCCGTTTCTACGACACTGTGTTCACTCAAACACAGTGGCGGCTCTACCTAAGGTTTGCAGGTTTGCACAACCCCCAAAAAAATCACCCAAGAAGGAAGAAATAAATTATGATTATAATAATATCATCGATATATATTTTTTTTAATTTCTTAGTAACTTTCTTGTTATAACACTATAGTTTCCAAGCAAATAATTAAATTTCCCGCTTGGCGCTTCGTATCGGTTCATTGATCGATGCCCGAATACCACGCCATCTAGTGTATAATTGTTGAGGCTAACGGGTTTGTTTTAAGGTCGCAAACCATTACAGGCTTTCGAATGGGCGTGTTGGGACCACGTGATTAAATTACGTTCAATATCATTGGTTTAATTAGATCGAAAGTGGTTGCAGGACAAATGCAACATTTAGTGTGAAATTCACACTGTGAATCGTGTTACGTATTTTTGCCGGGCCGCGTTAACATTTTTATTATTGTTTGTATGTATTTCTTATAATAATAATGATTAATTCAGTTGAAAGTTTATTAGAAAATCCGTTCGGTAGTCGGTCGATCGATATAAAGAGGCTTGGAAGACCTACAACAAATTTAAACATCGTTCAATGTGTGTCCAGTAAAAGCCGGTCTTTTACTAGAAAATTTAATTTAGATATACATATATAATAAACAATATGTTAACTTAAAACTCTAATAGTAATTAATATTTTAAATTTAAATTTTATATTTTTATAATTTAAATTTTTATGACCCAATTTATTTTTTAAAGCGATCTTGGTTTTGCACATCTCTTGTAATATCTACACCTATACCCAGGCAACACAGGGTCGTAGAAATCACGTAGAATCGTCGACGAATTGGGTCGAATTTGGTCGAAGTTACATTTCAACCATTTTTCGACGTCTCAAAATTCACCAAAACACGACCAATTATTAACTTAGGTCGATGATAACCAATAAATGACGTCATTATCACGTGAACAGATGACGAAATTTTTAAGAAAATATGAAAATATAGTGATAATTAATAAGGAACAGTTGGCCCGTTTTAATGGGCCGACAAAAAGTTTTGGAATATTTTTAAAAACAAAAATTATTATTTTTATTTAATTTAAGTTATTTCGACGGAGAATCAACGTGGTTTTAAACTAATTAAGATAGATTAATAATTATTGATCCATTATTGGATTTTTTAAAACAAATTCGCGATTTTTAAATCCTTTATCATTTCATCACAAAATAAGAAATTAACATGTTACTGCAGTTGACAATCACAATTTTAATTTTAGTAAAATTATTTATCTACAGTGTTGCCAGATGTTTTATAATTTTCTTTTTTAAAATAGTAAAATTTAAATAATAATCGATAATTGTAACATAATTTAATCCGCCGCGTAGTTTTGCTTGTTTTTATACAATTTTTGTTTTGATAATTTTATATAATTTTCTGTAAATTTGATCATTTTGTCAACCCTCTTCGATAATATTAATTTTTACACCTGGCAACCCTGTTTCTCTTTGACACTACTTACAAAGCGAGGGAACGTTTATTCCTAAAAAACAATATGGTTGATTCAAGCGTCCAACTTTTATAATCTGTGGTATTTATACAAAGAACAAACCATTTATACTGATAATACTTTGGCTGTGTAAGGTAGGTCAATTTTTGTTTGTTTATTAATGTTTTAATTACTCAGTATATTCCGTAACGAAGTCATAACACCTAAATGAAGTACCTACATAAGCCCCTAAAATATTGACCTGTCATCTGTCTTAAAATTTAATGTGTTTGATTTTATAATAAATGTTTTGAGCAACTTAAAACATGTTTTATTAATTATTAAACCAAAAGCCCTTTATGCACTAGTAAAAATAGTTATTTATTCTTATATCCGATATTTTAATGCCATACATATATATGTATGTGTTTCTGCAAAGATTAACTAACAATTTTTTTTTGTTATTCTACTTTTTTACATACATTTATTTTGAGTATTAATTATTTACTAAATATATATCTACTATAGTAGTATATATATACTATATATAGTAGGGTTTACCTATTTATTTCTTAAAATTTAAAAGTGCAATTAAAAATTTTTTGTTTTTTTAATTTTGACAAAAGCACATTTCGCATTGAAATATCTGATATCAGTATCGGTAATTATTTTTATCAGTGTATGACCTAATCATATATTATTCAAGAAATAGTACGTGATTATTACGTAAATAATTACGTAATATTACGTGATTTTACACGTGAAATCGCTGTGACATATTGTCGTCAATTTTACGACGATAAGACGTTTCTAAGTTGGTGACTTCGACGTCACCGTAGACGTAAATTAAACGTGATATTCACGTCACTGTGTTGCCTGGGTACATATGGGTGCAACCCCAGATTTTTTAGGTCACGAGCCGCCACTGCTCAAAGAATTGAAATTATGTGTGAATATGTGTTTTGGTAGTAAGTGACTGTTCGCAAAATATCACCTTTCCAAGACTACCAGAGTAGAAGTTATATTAAAAAAACTGATATGATAGGTAACACTTTATCACCCTGTATCTTGGAAACATAAGTAATTAGGAAAAATATTTATTTAGGTTTTCGTCTTATTTTGACTTGCTTAATCTGCTCCTAAATTTATGCCACTAAGTTTAGGGACACCTTGTATATTAAAAAATTATTTTATATTTATTATTATACTATTTTCTCGATTTTAACTTTTATTTAGGTTTTTTTGAATTGTTTTGTGGTCGTTGTTAGCTGGGGGATTTTTCTCGCAAAATATGTCAGTTGGCAACACAAAATGACAGTTGCATGAACAGGTAGATTTATTTTTATTTACTATTTATTAATAATTATTAATAAATTATAGATTATAATCTGTCTGTATTTGTCAACTGGATAATAAGGTTTTGTGTAAGTGTTGTATTATTTTTTAATGATTTCGATACAGATTATCTTGCAGTAAAGGTATGTTAATTCATTTGTAAAATTATAGTAGAAATAAAAAGATTTAATTTTTTAGGTTGTGGTTATAATGGGTTATTCCGGAGCATTTAAACGTGACGAGCTTTCCAATATGCTAATTGATGACATAGAATACAGGGCTGACTCAGTTTTTGTAACTGTGACTAAGACCAAAACAAATTATCCAAGACTATTTGCAATTACAAACGAAGTTTGGATCAATCTTATTAAGAAGTACAATGGTTTAAGACCTACTTATACAACACTCAAGCGATTTTTTGTATATAGTGGGTAAACAAAGCTTTAACATTTTAGCCGAAATATTGTCTGATCCATAAGCATTAGATTTTAAATTTGATGTTATTTTAGGGATGCGCATCGAATATTCGATGTTCCTCAAACATCGATTTTAATGAAGTGAACATCGATTTTTTAACATCGATCATGCATTTTCGATGTTTTAATGACATCGATGTTAGACTTTGCGATGTTACTATATAACAAATTAAATTTTGTCAACTTTTTAATTGTCTAAATAACTGTTTCTACAGAACTTGGATAGGCAAAATTGGGATATAACTTAACTTTTTTTGACTGATAATTTAGGTTTATTTTGTTTTTAAATTAAAAAAAGAGAATTTAAGTTTATTTTGTTTATTTTTTTATGTAAAGTTGGAAATAAATATATTTTATACATGTTTTTTTTAGACTTGTGTTTTAGTTTGAAACAACGATTTTTTGGAAAAATCGATGTTTTCTACCCGATATATCGATGACATCGATATTCAACCTTCGATGTCAACATCGATGCCAACATCGATGTTTTTGTATTCGATGCGCATCCCTATGTTATTTTATATATATCATCCACTAAGGCTAATTTAAAGGAAAAGGTAGTATCACAAAATTTTAAAGAGTTGTAGTAATCAATGTACAGTGTACAATAAATATTATGTCTTGTATAATTGTTGTTATTTGTGAAGTAAATATACAGGGTGTCCCAGAATATGTGGGCAATCTCCCGGATTTAAATGGAGCACATAAAAATAATATGACAAGTTCCTATAAAAAAAATTTCCTATTGTACAAAAACATTTTTTTTTCGTAAACTACATTTTATCGATGTCGATCAAATGAAACTTTTTTTACTTTAAGGTTTAAGCTGACTAAAAATATTATTATTATGCGTCTATAGTACAGGCTGTTAAAAAAAATAGCATTACTCTTTTAGAGCTAGTCCATTCCTGACAAACTAAATAAGCCGAATGTGATTAAAAGTGCCAATTTTAAGGAAACTTTCCTAGTAAACAATATATTAAAAAATTATTAAATTCCACCTAGTAGTTTAAAAGTTAATTAAAACAAACTATATCCAGAGGTGTCCGTTATGGGGCCGTATCTCCATATAGGAACTTGTAATATTATTTTGATGTGTTCAATTTGAATCCGGGAGATTGCCCACATATTCTGGGACACCCTGTATAAGTGTTATATATTTTTGAATGCACTTTGAAACAATCCATCGAACTGTAAAAAAATATATAGGGCATTCCATTAAAAAACATTTTTTTGTTGACAGCCCTGTATTGTAGAAGTAAAATAATTCTGATATCATATTCAAAAAATTCATCAAAAAAATATATTGAGCTAAAAATAAGCGAAAGATGCTACTTAGCAATTATGAAAAGATTCACCAATAAACTTTATTAGCAAGGACTCTAACTACGACATTCCTAGCGAATTATGGTTGGAAGTACAGGGCAACAGAAAATTCAAGCACCCAGAAAAGACTATATGGGAACATCTTCAACAAATAAGAGATAACATATTAATTAATTAATTTCAACTTTACTTGTTCTTCTTTTTTACATATGTTCAAGATTGCTCACTGGCTGAAGGGACTTATGGATTTTCGCCTCTTAAACAGCGTGGGATTTAATGCCTCGGCATAAAAGGTTTATTGATCTTGGGCAACGACAGAGGCGTCACAGGCTTGCCATAATTCAGAGAAATGCAAGAGATTCCGAAGCATATGAAGCGAATATCTCGCCGAAAGAAGACGAACGAATTCCGGATATTCAAGATTCAAACTCTGAGTCATCGGATCTTGAAAGAGACTCAGAAAGACACACATTAGATACTGATGACAATATAGTTCAAGCCACAGTGAAAGCTACGTAAGCAGTCACGATGATAATGATAGTAGGGGTGAAGACACGGGAGATGAAGCAGCGAATGACATACCTATCCCTGATGTCCCTCGGGATCCAACATGGGCTTGTAAACGAACACTTAAGAATGTCTTCTTATCGGTAAATATGACCCACGCTCAGCAACGAGCAGTTCTGAAGACCCTTAGGTCTGAACCATTTAGTTTGACACACCTACCAAAAGACTCAAGGGCAGTCCTGAAAACTCCCACTGTTGTTGTTAGAAATCTTATACAGGACCTTGCTGGTGGCAGATATATTCACTTTGGATGCGAAGAATTTGATAACGAAATGTGTCAGCAGTTTAAGATTATCATAATTGGCGGGAAACGATTGTCGGTATATTTGCGTGATTCTTGTTGCATTTTAGAAAATTGTGATATTTGTATCATCAGAAACATAATTCAACACGAAGAAAACATATTTCTTATTGTATCAAAATTTGATTCGGTTGATTTGGTGTATGATGTGGGTTACATAGCGAATATGGTTGTAGTTTACGATTTCAAAATTTTGTACGATGCTGTAGAAATGATCCCTATTCATTACGTACGTGCAAAATGTTACATGGCACCAAAGTTTGGTAACACATTTGGGACAAAAAATAATGAAATTGCTAATGAATTTATTTGCTCGAAATATGTAACAAATTTAGTATTTCCTTAATATATATATATATATATATATATTTATATATATATATATATATATATATATTGGTGTTTGGTAAGCAGTGACTTCCGATAGGTTGACGTGGCGCCCTGACCTCCGGTATTACCAGTTATTTTAAACGTATATATTAGGGTGCGTTTGAAAGGGGGGAAGGTCTACAATTCGGTTGTCAAAAGAGGGGGAGCATTTTGTGAAGAATTACAATGTATATATTTGGAAGCAACTAATATACGAAATCACTTCCGCATATATATGAAAGAGTTACGGTCACGTCGTACTAACTTCCAGCAGTGTTGCCAGATATCAGAAGTTAGATTTACAACTATATTTTGTTAACTTGCGGAAAGAAATCAATAATTTAAATTAAAACCTAATACCTATTTAGGGAGAAACGTACAAAAAAGTATTTTTATTATAAAAATAACTAAGTTAGTTTTGTTACTTACGTAAAGAAAATTATTTTATTACAAATTATCAAGTGTTCATTAATATTGACAGTTACGTATTTTTTGAAGTTAAGAACATTTTCCCTTTCTGCTCAAAGGGGTTATTAATATTCTAGGTCAGGGATGGCGAACCTATGGCACGCGTGCCATGAGTGGCACGTTTTAAATTTTTTTGGGCACGTTTTGAGAACAAAATTTGTTCATCTTAAGCTAATTTTTAAGTTTAATAATTTGCGTATTTTATTCCAATTAAAACATAACTTATAACTAAACTCCGTAAAATTTAATGTCTATGTTAGCCTTGTAATCATAAACGACAAATTTTACAATTTTTAATGAATATCGCTAGAATTTTATCTAGGTGTTAAATAGAAACAACGATAAAATTCTTTGTTTGTAAAGCTTTAATTTATAATCTTGAATGTTTTATTAAAAAGTTTAACGTAAGAATAAGCTAGTTTTTGATACCATATAGACTTAAATATCTTGAACAATAATGGTTTTAAAAAGAACCATAAATTTTAAAACAAAATGGGTTATTTTTATAAAAAACAAAAATGCCATTTTCTTGAAATTTAAAACATAGAACCTTTTTAGTAATTTAATGCTCCAAATAAAATAATTCTATTTACAATTTTTATGAACATCTATTTTTAAGTATGCATCTATGTTAGATTTTGATCTTTTATTTCTTCTAAATCGTACGGTACAGATATGATCTAATAAAAAAAACGAGACTAAATTTATTTCTTAAAATATAACAATTAATTAAAAAAATTTCTAAATAATGATTTACTTTTTTTATAATGTTTTTGTATACTTTCATCTTCATAACACTTATAAAAATTTACATGTGGCACGTTACATTTTGAAATTTTTTTTTAAGATTTTTTGGCACCCACACTAGGGTGGGCCGAAAAACGTAAAAAAAAATATTTGAGATATTTATTTTTGGGTAGTAATAAAAAGTTACCTTATGTTAAAAGTAATTGATTAGAAAAAAATGTAGCGTACTAGCCTATTATTTAAGGGTCCCCCGGGGGCCCAAAATATTTTTTTTGTATGTTTTGACTGGGGTGGGAACAAAAAGTTACCTTATGTTAACAGTAATTCTAGAAAAAAAATGAGCGTACTAGCCCAATATTTAAGGGTGCCCCGGAGGCCCAAAATATTTTTTTTTTATATTTTAATTGGGGTAACCACAAAAGTTACCTTATGTTAACAGTAATTCTAGAAAAAAAATGAGCGTACTAGCCCAATATTTAAGGGTGCCCCGGAGACCCAAAATATTTTTTTTTATATTTTAATTGGGGTAACCACAAAAGTTACCTTATGTTAACAGTAATTCTAGAAAAAAAAATGAGCATACTAGCCCAAAATTTAAGGGTGCCCCGGAGGCCCAAAATATATTTTTTTTTCATATTTTAATTGGGGTAACCACAAAAAGTAACCTCGTTTTAACAGTATGTTTAGAAAAAAATAGCATTCTATCCCAATATTTAAGGGTGCCCTGGGGGCCCAAATTTTTTTATTTATATTTTAATTGAGATGGCAACAAAAAGTTACCCCATATATTATTGCATAGAAAAACCAAATGTCTGTATCAGTCTAATAGTTTTTTTATTATTTTATTAAGACGCCTTTTGATAAAAACAATTAGCAACTCTTAGCTTGATTTTATTAAATTAAAAAAAGATTATGCGTTACTCTAAATTAATTAACACAGCCACTAACGAAATAAATAAAGTTAAAAAAAGAAGTAAAGACTTCAGTTAAATGCCAAAAAGAGTCTTGTAATAAATATTGGTACAGTATACATGATAAATAAATCAAAACAATATAATTTTAATACCATACATATAAATAATATAGAATTTTTTTTATTATTATTATTAATTAATTGGATAGTTGCTCCTAGAGTGCCACCCGCTCCCTCCCACCCAGTTTTTTTATTATTACATAATATTGAGACTTGTTGTCATATAGGCCGGTAAAGATGTCCGCGCATCTATATAACCATTTCTTGCTACCTCACAGCAAATTTTTAATGCAGCTTCTGTTACAAGCTTTACACACTTTTCCACCGCTTGCGTTTGAAAGGGTAACTTGTCGAACCTTATATAGAAGTCGTCTGCTTGACTTAAAAATATTTTTAGTTCTTTTATTTTAAAAAACATTTCCAAATTTATAAACATTTTTAACCCTAAACCGCCAAATTTTTGACATCAAATTCCAATATCGGACATTTTTTTTGTAAACATATTGTTAACATAAGGTAACTTTTTGTGGCTACCCCAATTAAAATATAAAAAAAAATGTTGGGCCCCCGGGGCACACCTAAATATTGGGCTAGTACGCTAATTTTTTTTCTACAATTATTGTCAACATAATGCAACTTTTTATTGCCACCCCAAACAAAATATAAAAAAATAATATTTTGGGCCCCCAGGGGGACCCTTAAAAATTGGGCTAGTACGCAAATTTTTTTTTTACAAACTACTTTTGGCATAAGGAAACTTTTTTTTGGTACCCCTAAATTGAATTCAAAAAGTAATTTTTTCGGCCCACCCTAACGCACACTAAAAAAGGTTCGCCATCACTGTTCTAGGTGGTGTAATTCCCAATAAAAATCCATGAAAATCAACGAAGTTTTTCAGAAATTATTATTTTTTAATTGGGTCCTCCAAAGGTTTTTTTAGTGACGGTTGAATAAAATGTCCAAGTTGTGTAAGTTGGGGAAACGGGGTGAGATGTTTTTTTGTACGAGTATTAGTATAAGGAACGTATGGCAGGCCCCACCGGCAACGTCGATTCGATTTTTTTATTGATCCAAAGTAGAAAAAATGATTTTTACAGCCTAGGCTGTAAATAACGTAACCTGTTTGATATAAATCATTTTTAAGTGACTAGGTCATAATCACTCACTTTAGTTACAGTAACGCGTTAACACTCGCGAGTGTTAACAACAATAACCGATTGAAGATAAATATTTTAATATCTTCATTATTTTAATATAAAGTACAGTGCTTTAGGTATTTTTTGTTGTATTAGGTAAAAATGATATAATTGGTTTTATTTTACACTTTTGTTTAAAAAAAATATAACTGCATATTAAACTACCTACTTAAATTTCATAGTTCATTTGTCCTTTTTCCATACCGTAATAATACGTTCAAAAACGATAATTTTGGTACAATAATTTCACATTCAAAATCGGGCAACACAGCAGCAGGAAAAATATGGAAAATAAAATTGTAAATAAATTTTTCGACGCGGACGACAATAATTGTATTGTATTGTATTATACCTACTAGGAAATATTTTGATTAATATAATAATAAAATAATTATTCTCAGCTGTTTAGCAAATACAAACTTAATTACGGAATACAACCTTTATTTGTTATAATATTAATTTGTTATAACTAATATTATTTTTGTTATACAAAATGAATAAAGGAAAAAAGCAGTGATTCAAAGCCAAAGGCGGCAGATCTTAAATGTCTCGCAGCGTCTCAGCGCTATGAGATATTAATATCACTCTACTAATTAAAGGAATGAGAATAAAGATTTGGCAACGCCGATTTAACAAGAGAGAGTTAGGTATAGCGTGAACTGCAGGCACAACAAAGATAGTTATATTGTCATGCCCACGCGGAAGTCAAATCGTACAGTTTGTTAAATATTTGTAGCGACAACAGCGCCAGCGGTATATACCTGAACTAAAGGAAAGTTTTGTAGGTATATATGGCACGCACTGACTTCCAACCTAAAATTTGAAATAACGCTTTTTTCGACCTCAATATGACATTGCGCTAAAAAAATGCACTTTTCGTAATGACTTCCGAAATCGGAAGTCACATCGTTATATATGAAGTCACAACGTCTACTGAGTATCTATTTTGGAAGTCACTTGGTACTATTTATCAATATATATATATATATATATATATAATTTTTACGTTTGAATTTTATCGAAAAGTATTGCCATTTTCCAGCTTAAAAGTTTGCAAATATCATTATCATTTTTTATTTATTATAATCCAATAACTTCAAGTCTTTCTAATAATTTATGGAATTATTTTTGTATTTGAGAGTTGCGAATAACTATTTTTCGACTGTTAACAAAGGTACAAAAAGGAAATGTCCTCGGTAAGAAAAAAGAAGGCGAGGACTCTACCTCCCACCAGATCTGGACGTGTTCCATATTCAAACAGTAAATACTTATCATCTGGAGAATCCGGGAATGAAGCTATAATGCAAGCTTCAAAATTACCTGAAGCGACAAAAGACAAGGTTTTCAAAGAGTGGAAGAAATTGATGGGTGACAATCCAGCTGGGTCAGATCTTTTTAAAAGGCCAACTGAAAAAGTACTGTCTCCTAAGCCTACACAAAACCGACCTATATCGCCTTCTATGTCGACGTCAAGCCTCAAGTCCATTCCGAGTCAATCCCAACAACCAATAAAATGCTTTCCACATGACAGCTCATTCCCAGAAACTGAAAAGTTTCTTCGAGAAATTTTGACTGGCATCAATGACTTCAATGAAAGAACTCAGTATGTAATTTTTCTTCATTCTAAATAATGGGTATACCAGATGTAACCTCGTTCTATTTCAGAAACTTCGAAAAACGACAGGACATCGTGGAACAAAAAATAGACAAAATTATTATAAAAATAGACGCAATAGAGAAACATCTTACCAAACCCACTGCTGCTCAGGCCCTTTATAAAAATATAATAGGATTTCCTATTAAAAGTTTGACAGATTTTGATGAAATGGAGAAGCCAGAAAATGAGGAAACTCGATCGCAAATGGTAATTATAATTGCGTCTTTTAAATTTAAATATCTGAAATAAACAAAATTTTGTTTTATCAGGTGCAGCGTATTGCGGTCAGTGGGGCACGCACCTTGCGTGCATTTTGCAGTAGCGCATTGCAGCAGCTACTTACTGATGAAGTGATTTCTGACTTCACTTGGTGCGGAACTAAGGGCAAGAGGAATTTTAAAGACTCTAAAATATGAATCATGATACTTGGTTAGTTACAACTAACTTTTTACTTGTATTGCATATTCCACCTTTTTTGTAGATGCTGTTCAACAATTCCCAAACCTTGAGGCAAATGTTCAAACGATGGAAGATCTCAAATTCAATATTGACGAAAGCATGAGGGCAGCGAAGGGAAGACACCGCAAAAAAGTGAATAAGCCAAAAAATAGCGAACCCGGGGTACCCGAGCTAAGATGGCAGCATTTGGTTAGCCAGTCCTAGTAGCGTCTGTGACGGAGCGTTCGGCTACTAGGCCAGCGTTTGTTCCCCAGAGGGGCGGCTGAGCAAGAACCTGGCCGTAGGTATAAAAGGCAATGGAAGGACACCATTCAAAAAACCACACATGAAATATGAAGGATAATAAAAAGATTCCCCAGGGGGGTCCGGCAACGCCGGGAATCCCCCTTCGCGCAAGCGAGCTTCCCTATGGATCTGGGGAGGGCAATATTCCCATAAAAGAAAAAGGAAACAAAAAGAAAACCTGGCAGTAGGTCAAAAATGCACGGAAAGACACCGATTAAACCAAAGCACGAAGTCCAATCGTACGGATAAGATGTCTACCGAAGGGAGGGAGACCCTAGTTCCCGTCGGAGGAGATGGTGCCGCGACAGGCGCTCCCCGATCGTCAGCCGTCGACTGTCGGAGCCCAGCGAGAGACCAGGCTGGAGCTCATGTAGTGGCTACTGGTAAGGAACAGGCAGGGAAACTGCCCATGCACCCAATGCTGAAAGATGTACTCATGGCAATGAACAGGAGCGTTTCCCTAACGGAGCTAGGGTCTGCAAGCCATTTCAGCGCCAAAAGTCCGGTGGAAAAAACAGCAGGGCAGGACTGGTCGCGTCCTAAAGCAGGTATGGAAAATGAATTCAGAGGTACGTCCCTAACAGACCTAGACCCAAATAGGAAAAAAAAGGAAGCTACATGACACCTCCATAAATAATATCGACGAACCGTATAAAAGGAAAGAATCGACCGAAGTGTTTGTAATTAAAGAGACCATGGAAGAAGTCACCAAACTATCGACAGAAATGGAAAAACACATAGAACAGAACACGAGGAGAGAACTTAAAGGATTAATCAAAGAATTACTAATACAAGTAGAGGTCCTTAATAGAGTGATAATTAAGAAATGGCTGGATGAACACACATATGAGCCAGTAGAGAAAATGTACATAGATGTCGATACGCAAACAGAGACGCAACCCAAAGAATACGGGTCTCAGACCGATATTACCATCGAAAAGAAAGACAACGTTACCCAGACGGAAGAGGCCACATATACATACAGCGGAGTTTTGGCAGAAACACGAGAAATAAGAAGCCTGGAAGGAGTGGGCAGTCTAAATGAGTGGAAAAACATAGCAGACCTAAAATGGGAAGAAAAAATATTTAAAAATAGCAAAGTTGTGGTGGGAAATCCATTAGACACTGACACAGGCACAGTAAAGGCCGTATTGGTGGAGAGAAAAGACCCACAAATGTCTAAAAGCATACAGGCTCTCTACAAAAATAGATTCCCGGAACTGGCACAGGCAGAAGAAAAGTTCGAAGTGTTTATTCAAACAATGAGATTGAAAAGCAAGCTAGCGCTGCAGTACACGATCACAAGCCAGAAGATAGTAAAAATGCAAGCGGGGGAGTCAGACGAAGAACTTTGGGACCAGCTGGTTAAACTGAGAACGGAAACCAAAGATGATGAAAAGATAGCCCTACACCACATAAATCGAATGAGCCCAGAACGCCTAAGGAAAATGACAGAACTCATCTTTCACGATACAACTACAAAGGTGGAGATCTATACAACAAAGGACACATTAGAAAAAAAAATGCCGACAAAGCAAACAAACCTAAAGAAAAAAATACTTTTGCCTTGATCGTGGAACAGCCCGGAAAGAATTTCGAGGAGATAATTAGGGACATAAAAGAAAGGGTACAGGGAACGCAAGAGAGCCAAGCCATAAGGGAAGTGCGGATGACGAGAGAGGGAAGAATTCTAATCACGACGGATAAAGACGAGGAGGCCCTAAAGAAACTGAAATCGAAAATCCAGGACGTCGATAGCACTATTAAGGTTAGGATAAACTGCATCAGGAAGCCACAAGGCGTAGTGCACGTCAGAGGAATGGAGGCCACGACAAGTAAGGAGGAGCTGGTAAAGGCTATCGAGGCGAGCGTAAGTGACAGAGGAAAAATAACCCGAATAAGCGAATTAAGACCAAACGCAGGAAACACCCTAGCAGCCACCATAACAATGGACAAAGAAGAAGCAGTGGCCATCTCAGAAAAGAGACTGCTAAGAATCGGCCTCGCAAATTGCAGAGTAAGCCTGGACATACCTGTAAACAGGTGCAACAGGTGCTGGTCATACGAGCACCTGACCGCGGACTGCACAGGGGAGGACAGGAGGAGCCTGTGCTACAAATGCGGGAAAGAGGGGCACAAGTCAACAGAATGCAGGAACGAGGAGGTATGCGATGAAGCAGGACATAATTTTAAATAAAGAATCCGTGGTTTTGTGTAGTTTTGCTGTGCTGCTTTAACACAATGTTATGGACCATTCTGTATAAGTATAGTTTACTAGTTTCCAGTTTTTCCTATAGATATACAAATGAAATTCTACATATAAAATTACAAAAATTACATATAATTTCACACTTATGCCTCATTCAGAACCTCCTAATTAGTGGAAAAAATAAGTGGTTTCAATTATACTTATACTTGAGGAAAAATAATCATTCATAATGTCAAAAATTAAAAATTAGAATTAGTGGAATTTTATTGTGCCATCTTACGGTAGACAGTCGCATCTGCATCGGTCGATAATACAGGTCGCGGCTTGGACGGTTTCAAAGTTGTCATTTGAATGTTTTTGTTGTGTGTTGTATATTATATTCTTTTTTTGTGTCGTTAACAAAGAGGTTTGTGGTCGTTGTTTTATGAAAGTTTTAAATTATGGAAGAGAAGTTTATACATCTGGTGATGGAAAATAGTTTTCTTTATAATAAAGGTGAAGAGGGCTTTAAAAATGCCAAAAAAAAAGAACGGACTTGGCATGAAATTGGAGAGAAATGTGGAATAACAGGTAGATACGTTTTTAAGGTTATGTAGACAGTATTTTTATAGTTTTTGTTTTTAAGGGGATGAAGCTGTAAAACTCTTTAAATCCTTAAGAGAAAAATACCGCCGCCTGAAGCTCGAATAAGAAAAGTTGAGCCGCAGTGGTGCTGGTTGTAGAAAAAAAAAGAAATGGGAATTGTTTGAAGTTATGAAATTTTTAGATGAAGTCCAGCATCCTAGAAAGTAGGTACCTTTTAAATTTTCTGTCCGTTATCTTTATTTGTTGGCAACCCCATAGGACCATAAGCAACCTGTTCAAAGAGTCAGAAACTCCAGGTACACTGTCCTGTTTGCTAGACCAAGGGGAATCATTGGATCCCATTGAGGTTGTAGTAGAAGATTTCATTGGGGAAGACGAATTCATTAACCAGTTCAGGTTTGATAAGCATCGTAAACCTAAGTGAAAATTTCATGTCTGCCTCCAGGAATTCTCAAATAGAAGCAGATCTGGGCGGTACTTAAGTACAAGTACTTGAAAAAGTACTTAGAGTACATTTTAGGGTACTTTGTACTTGATACTTAAGTACTTCTTTGTATATGTACTTGGTACTTGAACTTGTAACATTCTGCTAAGAGTACTCAGTACTTGGGACTAAAATATAAGTACATTTTTACAAGTACTTTATACAAGTTGAGACCTGTCTGCGCCTCCAGCTAAGTACGTAAAAGGTTTTCCGCGCCACAAATTGTGGCCCACAATACGTGTTGTTTATGAGTATGCTCGTATGGTCAATCAAAATACTTAATAAAATTTATAAATAAATATATATATATATATATATATATATACCTACCTATATATATATATATATATATATATATATATATATATATATATATATATATATATGGGTACACCGACAAAGGCCTATTATAATTTGCTGTCGCCGAGAGTTGAGAGCGGAAAATGAGCATTTTGCATGTTGACGACAATGTCATTTACAGACTGTCAGTATACTAAAGTAATAAATAAAATGAGCAGCTAAAGGTTTAGCTCTACATCGGAAGAAAAAATAAACAAACAAAATTTGTTTATTTAATTAATATGCGAATAAAGAAACCCCTAAATCAGTTATATTAGTAAATTCTATAATAAATGTCAAAGAAAAAAAATCTTTTGAATACCTACCTACCACTCAAGAGATCAATAAATTAGAAAATAATTCTACAGATATTTTTCAAACTTGTTGTCATAAGGCAATAGATAACAAGTTTTCGAAATATCTCAAATTATTTTCAATTTATTTTCACTCTCTTGTGATATTACTGTTGAATATTTTGCTATTTTTTTATTTTCCTATGTATGTTTTACGATGGTAATTAAATTAATATAATAAGACTAGGTATGTTCTTTTTTCCGAAATTCATATTTAATTGTATTATCCCACCCTTTTTCAAATAAGTTTACAACTTATTTAAAAATTGCAGTGCATTTAAATCTAGGGATTAAAGTGTCAATCTGGGGTATTTACCGCGAGCTTTTTGTTGGCAACGCTAAAGCTGAGAGAAACAGTCATAATGACTGAATCATCAGCGGAGCCAGCTGTTGTATTTGTTAAACTCCAGTCGAATTATTAGACAGTGTTTTTGTTAAATAAGTGTTTTTTTTAATTCGACAGTGTTTCTAAATATTTGTGGTAAGTATTATTATATCAATATGTACACCTTTTGATCAAACTTAATCGCGTAAATACTATGAAATATTATGGTTAATAATATAACCTTACAATAACCATTATAATGCACAATGTGTGGATTGTGTTATAAATTATAACATAGGTTATGATTTACCGTATATCATATAGGTATAGTGCTATTAATATCTCATGGCGGCTGAACTTGAGTGCCCAGAAGTCTCAAATCCGTCAAATCGCGCTATTACTCGCCGACCTAAAAACATACTACTCAATGCTGATAATAATTGACATATTTAGTCCTATTTCTAGGTTAGAAATTCTATTATATTTGTTATAAATTATAACTTAATTATAACTTATAATATTAATTTGTTATAACTAATATTATATTTGTTATAATATTATATTTGTTAATAACCATAGACCTTTAAGATCTGCCGCCTTTGGCTGTGAATCACTGCTTTTTTCCGTTATTCATTTCGTATAACAATTAAATTGTTATACGAAAACAAATTTTGTTTTACCCTACGGGCTTTCGTGGCTATTGCCAGACAACAAGTTTTCGAAATATCTGTCAAATTATTTTCAATTTATTTTCAGTCTCTTGTGATATTACTGTTGAAAATTACTTAATTGGAGTAGAAAAAGCATAGTATTACACTCGAGATAATGCGCATTATCTCTCGTATAATAATATACTATTAATTACAAAAATTACATAACCAACAATAATTCAATCACGTCAAATTGGCATTAAGGTAAATTCATACAAAATTGTTCGATTTTTAACATATTTAAATCGCACAATGGGATAAATTAAAAAAATGGTAGAAAAAATTCGCACAGTAGGATAAATTTTAAAATGGTAATAAAAAATCGCAGTGGAATATTTAAAAAAATAGAAAGAATTCGCACAGTAGGATAAGTTAACAAAAATGTTTAAAAAATTCTCACAGTAGCAAAATTGACGAAAGTTTTCGATAACAAAATTACCAGTTTTTAAAATGTCATTAATTTCAAAATTTCCAAAATTTTTAAAATTTGGAAAAAACAAAAAAGATTTTCAAAAAAATTTCAAATTTACAAAATTTCAAAAAACCTCAAAATTTCACAATTGATAAAATTTCCTGAATAAAAAAAATCAAAAACTATGATACAATTTGTTTCATACAACAGATCAATCTAGGAAAAGTTTACGTGATTCACAATTATAATTGTACTACATTATTATTTCTAATTATTACTAATAGTACAAATTTATTATTACTAATAGTCAATTATTAATACTAATAGTCAAAATTTTCCATTCCCGATATTTCTTACGTAATTAGACTTAAAACAGAAATTCTTTATTTATAGCGTCATGGAAGCTCATTCTTCAACCAGCGAAGAGGAAGACCCATATCGCAATTCATCCGAAAGTGATGTTGATTATATTCCGCCAAATAAAAAAACAAAACATTCAGGAAAACTATTCGATTTTTTCAAAAGCCTCAAGACTCCTAAGCCAAAGTCATCAACTTCATTGTTAGTTGTAGAAAAAAATGACGAAGAAATCAATCCTGAAATCGTCGACAACGAATCTCCCTCTTTTGCAGTAGTGGATTACAATGAGAAGTTCAAGAACAGTCCGATGCTCGATGGAAAATTCTTTCAGGTTCAAAAATGTGATGAAAAAATGCATGTACGGGCCATATGTCAATTATGTCTTCCTGTAAAAAAGGTGATCAAGGGTTCTAGAGAAATCACGACAAATTTCGTTAAACATCTAAGAAGGGTTCATGGAGACAAGTATGGTGATTATTTAAAGTACAAAGAGAGAAAACATAGACAGAGAGTGTTTAATAATGATTCTGATGCTACGAGTGCCGGTACAACGAAGAAAAAATCAAAACAAGATACTTTGAAAAAATACATCACGAGTCCAAATCCGAAAGAAGTAATAACCCAAAAAAAATTTTAAAAAAGAATCATTAACTTTATTGTCAACACGATGTCCGCAATTGCAGTTATCGAGAATACAAGTTTTCAAGCTCTGTTTGATGGAATGAACATAAAAGTCATTGGAAGAAAATCAGCGATGAGACTGAAATGTGCCATTCTCACATACAAAATCTAAAAAAAGAAATTGAAAAGCAAGATTATGTTTGTGCTACAGCGGACATCTGGTCAACGAAGCAGAGGAGTTTTATGGGTGTCACTCTGCACTGGATCGATTCAAACTTGGACAGAAAGTCAGTAGCATTGGCTTGCAAAAGGTTTTGTGGAACTCACGACTACAAGAACATCGGAGAAATGCTTGAAAATATTAATTTAAAATTTGGAATAAGGCCTACGCAAATAATTGCCACCGTAACGGACAATGGCTCCAATTTTGTAAAGGCGTTTCGTGAATTCGCTGTAGGAGATGGAGAAAGAGAAGTACATGAAGATTTGCAAGCCGAAACTTCCATCGGGGTTCATGATAGAGAAGAGGATGTTGATGAAGAGGATATCACCTTTGAACAAATCGATGTTTTTGATAATCCTGACGACTGCAGGATAATTCTTTCAACCCATGTCCGTTGTGCCAGTCACACACTCAATTTGATTGCAACAACTGATTGCAAAAATGCAATTCAATCAAATGTTTTAGTCAGAAAGAGACATACCGAAGTTTTTTTGAAATGTAACATATTATGGACGAAAGCCAGGAGACCCAAGACTGCTGAAATAATCAAAGATGCCTTGGGTCACACACTAAGTTACCCGGGAGTGACAAGATGGAACTCGTACTACGACTCAGTTTCTCAAATTTTAAGCGAAAAACTGAAACTGCCTTCTCTATTCCAACGCCTTAATATGAATTATTTCAGAGAAACGGAGCTAAAGTATTTGGAGGAATATTGTATGGTTCTCAAACCTCTAGCGTCTACTCTTGATCTTCTTCAAGGTCAGGATTGTGTTCATTATGGATACATTCTTCCAAGTCTGTTGTCTCTGAGGAATAAATGGGAGAAGATAAAACTTCAAGAATTAAGTTGCGGTGGTAAACTTCTTCTGACAACTTGCATGCAAAGCTTAGAAAGGAGATTTTCTGACATACTCAACCTGTTTTCGAAAGAGGCTGTTATATCCGCAATTGTGCATCCCCAATTTAAATTTCGTTGGTGTAATGTTATAAAAAATACCGACCTCACTGTGGATGAGATGAAGAAAATTGTGATTACTGCTGCCGAGACACTCATTGCCCTTGATGGTGGCGAAGAGTCGGGGGATACTTCAAGTGACACAACTGATTTCAATGAACGGCCTCAAGACCAATCCCAAAAAGTTACACAATCCATGAAGGAAAACGAAAAAATTAAACCAGCCAAGTCCAAAATTGAGCTGGAGTTATACAAGTTTCTTGATGACAAAAGAGGTAACTTGAGTGCACTTCATGATTATCCCATAATTAAAAAAGTGTTCGTGCGATACAACACTTGTTTGCCATCGTCTGCACCCGTGGAGCGCCTATTTTCTTTCGCCACAATTGTGAATAGTCCACGGCGCAATGCACTGACAGACGAAAACTTTGAGAAACTGGTAATCATGAAAGCAAACAAAGTCAACCAATAATTTGTTAGTTACTCTTACTCTTATTATTAAAAATAATAATAATTAATAAACCATATTGTTTATTTGTAATAAATATTTCATTAAATTGCCTACTTTTAATTCACTTTGCCTATATTTTTGAAATTTTGAAGTACTTAATTATACGCAGATAGCAAAATACATGCAGGGACTAGCGTGCGGATTGGTACATGCTCTGATCCCTACATAATATGTGTCAACACAAATGTTTGGATCAGAGCATGTACCAATCCGCACGCTTGCCTACACTGCATGCATTTTGCTATCTGGGTTGAGTGGTTATATTATATATTTATCTATTTTGCGTTTATAATGACTTAATTATAACACGCCATTTAAATGTTTTGTGTGCTTTAATGAGGTTCATTATAGTACGCAAAATTTTGATTTCGAAGCTTGGCATCCAGATAAATTGTCAGTGACAATGACAACCTCAATTTGTTCAAGCGAATTTGATTAAAATAAAAGAACAATAGAATTTGTATATTTCTAAGATGATTTATTTCACATAATTATAACTTAACTTACGTTTACGTTTCAAAACTTTGGTATTTCCAAAGCTTCACTATTACCAAGTCTTGGTACCAGCGAGTCTTGTCTTGTTGACATGTACTCTTAAAATACAATTATAAAGTACTGAGTACTGTACTTGCAGTACTGTACTTAAAGTACTTTGAAATTTGTATAGTACTTGGTACTTTGTACTTCTTCAGGAATTATACAAAGTACTTTGTACTCGGTACTTAAGTACATTTTACTTGTACTTGGCCCAGCTCTGAATAGAAGACATTGAAGGAAGCTCTGTTACTTTGGATGCAAATATCACACCATCGACCAGTGGTTTGGCACGGTAAGTTTACCATAGACAAATACAAATGTATAAAATTGAACTATTTTAGAGACAGATGAAAGGGTGTCTCTGGCATTGGAACAAATTGCCACCCGTATAGCCAACAAAGAAAATAAAGCTCCAAATAACATTTCAGCCTTTTGCCACAATTTGGAGACCGAAATGATACGCATGCCATCTGATATTATTGAAGACTTTAAAGACGAAATAACCGAGTTATTGTTGAAAAAAGACGTCAAATTAAAAATTTATATAGAGAATAAAAATAAAGACAGTATAATAAATGTATATTTATCTATTAGTACAAAACCTTAATGCCTAAATACCTAAGAATAACAAATGTTGATTTATTTATTTATTGCTTCATTTTGCCATTTCTTCCCTGCTGTTTACATACTGAGTAATATATTCTCGATAATTAACAGCTGACTGTTTCGCATTCCTTGTTCCTAGACGACGACCAATTTCGTTTACAGGTCTTAAGCAGGACGTAGGTGGTGCAGCCTGCCGCACTCTCCTGGAGTTAAGATGCCGTCAACTTCCCTGTCGGTAAAGGATGCTCCACAGTACCTGCGTTGCCCTGCAGGTAATTTTCCTTCACATTTTTTAATATAGTTGTGAAGACAGACAGTGGCCTTAATAACACGATCCACATTTTCTGGTTGTTTAAAAATGGTGGTATGATAAATTCGAAAACGAGCTACCATTATTCCGAAAGCATTTTCAATGCACCGGCGCGCGGCGTGCTTTAGATAATCTGTAATTAAAAATGCATTCTTGTATGGATAATCGTTTTCCCCCATAGGGTCTCATTAAATTGCTTTGCAGCGGAAAAGCTTCATCGGCGACGAAATAAAATGGTTTTGGGTCATTTCGTCTAGGAAAAGGAATGTCAGGTGGTAGTTCTAAAGCGTCATTGTTGAGTTTTAGACCTTAAGAATATTCCCTCAGGATGCCTTAAGCCTCATTCAGAACCTCGTAATTAGTGGAATAAATTAGTGGTTTCAATAAACGTAAAAGTTTGTCTTGTGAATATACACAGTGTTGTTCACAACCAAAAAATTAGTGGTAGTACTTTTCAATTAGTGGAAAGAGTTTGCAAACTTCTAACTTTTACCACTAATTATAATTGGAAAGCGGCTTTGCGCATGTGCGCGGATATTTTATATCAAAAGCAAAAAGTTTGAAGATTTGCCAGTGAAGGTAAGGTTATATAAATATTATTGTATTGGTTGTACAAAATATTATTTTAATATAATTAATATTGTTTATGTCAGGTTAAGAAAAATGGACAATCTTTTAGCAAATTTCCTTAATTTTAGATGTTAATTTTGCGCGTTGTGAATGATCGTTTTGTGTTAATTATAAGTATAATTGAAACCACTAATTTTTTCCACTACGAGGTTCTGAATGAGGCTTTATAGTATGGTATGGTATGTGATATTTGAATAAATTATAATTTGATATATGAGTATACTTGTATGCTATAGTATAATTTCATATGTAGTGAAAGCTAATACAAAATTTCTCATTATGTTTGTTGTTCCTCTACTTATAAATAATAATTAAGGAGCTAACTTTCAAAACGCAGTTTATGAAATTTATAGAGCTATTTGATGTTTTAAACAAATTTAAAAAATATATGTTTTATTTAATATACATTATCGATTAAAATATATATTATATATAATCAATATTATATATAATCAATATTATATATTTATATAAATATATTTAATAAAAATAAATTATTATAAATATCTTGTTTAAAACATTTTCAAATAGGAGTATGAATTGCAAAAAATTTATCTCTTTAAATTTCAAAATTAAAATTCGCGCGTAAATTCTACGTATGCGCAATTAAAATTTTGCTTTCAGGTCTCACACTCTGCGATCATATGAGCACATATGCGGCGACACTTTAATGCGTTGAGAACTCACAAACGTGAAGTAAAATTCATGAAAAAATAACAAATCCGCTCATCTGAACTCAGGTTTGCTGTGCGGGAAATAGACTCTGTTTTGGAAATATATAAGTCCCATAATAAAGATCAAATTATGATTATTGTTTGTATCATAATGAAACAGTATATATGTTAGTTTACGTTGACGATATTCTACTAACCGGCGAAGAAAAAGAAGTACAAAGAATTATAAAAAAACTAAAAGAAAAATGTAATGCAAAAGAAGTTAAACATATTCTTGGAATGGAAATAGAAAAGACCAAAAAGTACTGTCAATAAGACAAACCAAAATAATAAACAAAATTCTTAAAAATTTTGACAAGGAAAATTGCAAAAGTGCGAATACACCGATAGAACAAGGATTCCAGATAGAACAAGAAGAAAAAATTGTAGAAGTACCATATAGACAACTCATAGGAAGCTTGATGTATCTGCCAACTAATTCAAGAGCCGATATATCCTATGCTGTGTCTTACCTAAGTAGATTTCCCGATTTCTCGTCATGGAAAGCAGGAAAAAGAATTTTAAGATACCTAAAAGAAACAAAAGAAAAGAGACCACTTTACAAGAAAGAAGAAGAAGAAGGAATCAAAGCATATTCTTATGCGAAATAGGGCACAGATAAAATTGACCGAAAAAGAGTGGGTCAATTATATTTTTTAATAACAAACCAATAAGTTGGTTCTCGAAAAAGCAAGGCTACAACACAATCGGAGTGCATTGCGGCGGCAGCAACAGCGCAAGAACTGGTCAACATTAAGGGATTGGTGAGTGAATTTAAATCAAACAATAATGCATTCATGTATTGTGACAACCAGAGTACAATAATGATGGCAAAGAGTCATGAAAACTTAAAGAGAGGAAAATATATAGACATAAAAAGCAACCTCATAAGTGAAAAAGTGTTTACCCTAGAGTACCTACATAAGTTCTACGGAGAACATTACAGACATGTTAACGAAACCGTTGGATAAGGAAACTTTTTATAGACTGAGAGACAATTCCTGTGTTATATAGTTAAAAAAAACAACAAATATTAGTGCGATTTAAACAATTTTTGTTAAATTATTTAATCGAGAATGAGTGTTAAAATAAGATTGCCTAAAGACAATGTAATATGGGTTGCATATTTGTATAACGATTGGCACCCCTGTTAGTTCATTAGATATAATGTTGTCAGTACTGTTAAAAGGGAGTCATGCAAAAATGTAACTAGAAGTTTTAGGAAGTGGCTAGTTACCCGGGAGTTTCGGGTGAATAGGCCGTAAAACTAATTATCCGAAACTCTCGAGCGAATAGTCCAGCAGCTGATCAGCCGGGAGTGTACAACACGTGTTGATTTACTTACAAAACGGCTACAATTTATTGTGTAAGTATCATAAAAATAGTGTTATATCTATGGAAAATATAAAACAATTTATTGCGTGAAGATAGTTACTCTTTGGTTATGTGGAGTGAATAACGATTTAAAAAGAGGCAACAAATTCACATCATATGAAGAACTAAAAACTTTTATTGAACGTTTCCAAAGTTTAACTTACAGCCAGTTGCATTGTTATGATAGCAAAAAACTTGTTAATCTTTAATAAAAAAGTGTCCAAACAAAATCCTAGGAGCTAACAAAAAATTTCAATATTATTTCTTGGAATACCGATGTGTACATGGTGGAAAATATAAGTTTAAAGGAAGTAATAAAAGAAAATCAAGGTAGGTTTTATTTACGAAAATTTTAATTAAACTAGGAAACACATTACTGTTTTTTTGTCTATCAGAAGATGGACAAAGCATGGAAATTCAAAAAATAAATTTAGACCATTCTCATACTATCTCAGAAGAGTTATACAAAGCATTACCACACCAACAGACAATTCCAGAAAGTGCAGAAAGAGAAGTGAAGCAGTTAAGGTGTAATAAAAAACTGGTTAAAAACTTCATCAAAACAAAAGCAGGAAAAATGTTGACGTTAAAGGATATCAGTAATATTAATACCAAAATGAATAAATCATTAAACATATGCGAACTTGAAGAAACTGTACTACTTTTAAGAAGTATGGAAGATTCTACAGTAGAAGTTTTAGTTCAGGAAGATAATATGTTAGAAGGTATATTTTATCAAAGTAAAGATATGAGAAGATCCTTTGAATTACATCCAGAGATATTATTATCTGATAAACTTAATAATCTCAGAATGCCATTATATATTTTTCTAGTTATTAACGGAAATGGTCAGGGCGAAATAGCCGGTACATTTACACTGGCAAATGAAAATACTCAGAATATTATAGAAATGATAAAGATAATCAAAAAGTTTAATGGACGCTGGTCTGATATCGTTACAATTTTTACAGATAAGGATTTTAAAGAACGCAAAGCATTTAAGACTGTTTCACACATTAAAAACATTTCGAACAATTACATGTGAAAAGATGAACATATCATCAGCACAACGAGCAGAGTGTTTGAAAACACTGCAAAAAATAGAAAGCATTTTCTATAAATAATGAGACATACATATGTAACTACAACAAATTAGTTGCATTAAATTGTGACAAGGTAACTCAATAATTTAATGAGAATTGGCATTCAAATAGAAATGAATGGGTAAAAGGTTTTATAAAAAAATCATTTACATTCAATATTACAACCACAAACCATCTAGAATCAGTAAATCAAAAAATAAAACAAGTTGTTATAAAAAATAGTAACCTTGCCACATTTTATAAAGACTTATTGATTTTGTTTGATGCTCTTTACGATGAACGTAGAATAAAGGCATGTAATATGGCAAGCAAGGTACCAATTCATCATTATCCCAAGTTGTCTGCTGAAAAAAGGTACATAAATTTATTGACGCCATATGCAGCTACTTTTGTTTTGGAAAATTTTGAAAAGGCTAAGCATTTAAAAAACATTGACAGTGAACCTTAACTTGGAATTACTGTAAATGTTAATTTCAAACTAATATGAAGTTGCCATGTAAGCACATTTTTTATAAACGTATTCTTGATAATAGAGACTTATATGATGAATCATTAATTAATATAAAATTTACTAGAAAACATAACAACTCATTTACATGCAGTGGAACCGGCCTCTTTATTTAATGAAAATGAAACTGAAATAGTAAACCATCATATGATTACTTCTCAAAAGCGAATACTATCTGGCAATGAAAAATACAATAAAATAATGAAAGTAAGTGAAGAAATTGCAAATTTTTCTTCAGAATATGGAAATAAGGATTTTAACATTTTACTTCAACAATTAAAGATATTTCGGGAACATGTACAAAATAGAAAAAATATATTAGTTATTGAAGACTATACTATAAATGAATTATCTACTAATGTT